ATCAGTCGGCCTAGCCCAGTAATGTTTGTCTGGCCTTTTGGATGCTAATAATTGGGATGAAATAATACACTACTCGAATAACTTTGCACAGGCACAAACCTCAGTGAATACGCTCCTCTTTACTTAAAGGATTCTTTTTAAAGCAAAACACATGTGATTGGGACTAGCCCCCACAACCTCAGTAAGATTTAAAAATTATCTCAGTGCTTATGAATAAAGCATAAAAACAGTGTCCTCAGAAAACACCAGAGACATGGAATCTGAACCTCACTCTGAATTTTGACCCAATTATAACACTCCTGATGGGCATGTTTTGGCTCTACATTGTGTTTGTCTAATTAATTAGTACATAGCCTATGGAAAACACAAATGAGCCGTTGTTGTAATTAATTAATCTAGATAGACTCTACCCCAAGCCAAGGTTAATGTACATTCAATCTGCTTAGATACAGTCGATCCACACAGAGTGTGGAGTGCGACTAAGCTGGCAACATGGGACAATGCCTCAGTACCTTCCCATTATTCTGAACTGTGATTCCACAAAGTTGAAGGTACTTCTTTATTTGCTGCAGCTCATGGTGCTGACAGCATAGTAATATTTGCCTTGTGAATAATAGATTAAAAAGGAACTCAGTGTCTAAAAAATGTTGGGATGCAATGTGGTAGATTTTTTTCCCAAATATTCGATATTGCATTTGATGAGGCTGACAGCACAGAAGGGAGCACTATGGTGTTTTTCTTTTTTTTTCTTTTTTACTACACATGCTGACTCAACAAGAGACAGAAACTATGTGCATATCTGTGGCTGGCTGGGAGTGTCTTCCTATGTTCAAACTGCAGGAATAGATTAATAACAGTACTCCAAACCCAGCAAACAGAGGTCAGCATCTTGGTGGAAACGACTGAGGAGAACGAATTATTCGGGTTAACGTTGTCAGAAATTTAAGCTTGTGAATGTGTTGTGTCAGATAGGGGATGGAGAGCTCATTTTAGGTAGATGAGTAAGAAGCAGATGTTTAAAAAAAAAAATCTATCGAAATTCTCGTGCCATTCTGCATACCTCGGCACTCTGATTCAGGGGGCGCACCTGACCTTAAGCTTCTCGTGTCTGTTATGATTAACTGCGTCTAATCTATAATTACTGTCTCTCCTGTTTAATAACATTATGTGTTCAACATGCCTCTGTAAATATATCACCCAGCATGATTTCAGGAGAAATAGAACGAATTAGAAATTGAGCGATGCACTGCCGCCGGTGGTTCAGCGTTTGTTATAAAGGTCACTCGTAATTTTCTTTGCCAAATCAGGCCTCGACAATTTCTCTGGCAAGCTTTTCCAGCTTTGCGCCGTGGTGCATGTGTGTGTTTGTGACCTTTTTAGTGGGCAGATGATAACCGTTTCCGTCGAGACAGGAATAGAAAACAAAATGACCTGTTAAGAGACCAGAAAGGGTGGCGTAAGCACTTTGCAGCCCGGGCTAGCATTCGCTTTGTCAAGAGAAAGAGAGAGTATGACAGATAGAAAGTGAGATAGTGAAGGAAAAGTAATATTTTCTAACCTCGACGACTGCCCAGAGTTGTATGATTTTTTTTCTCTTATCTTTTGTTTGTGTGTTTGTGTCTGTATGAGTGCCCCTGGTCTTTGGCCAGGGTGAGAGAGCGTCCTGAGGCATGCTGGGAGAAACAAGCCTACCCACAGGGGGATGATAGTGGCCTTTAACCCACATCTGATAGTCTGCCATGCACAGCTCCATTGCACTCAGTCCTTAAACTGAAAATCCAATAACGTATACCACTCATACCACTTAAATAATTAGATAATTCAACTAAATTTAATTAGTGACTAAGTAAAAAAAAAAAAAGACGAACTTCACTGTGTAAAGAAAAGACAGCCTTGAATTCTAACAGACATAGAACAGGCATGAAGATTTCTCCTTAAATATTTCAAATGAGAGAACAAGTCCTCTTCCAGGAAAGACTCAATGCACGAGTCAAATTGAGGCCGACAATTTGACGATAATAATCAGAAGTGTATGATCTTCCATTTTAAAAAATCCTTGGTTTGGTAAAAAAAAATCTTACATATGCTGCTCAGGGCTGTGTCCTCTCCCGTTTCTCCTTTGCATATTCGTTTTTTCATCTATCCAGCTAAAGCTCAGAGTTAAGAAATCAGTGCAGGGAAATGGGTTGAAGATCTGTCTGGAGGGTTGTTAAAAGTCTTCTCTACCATCAGTGAAGTTGAAGGATAAAAGATGGCAGCGGAAAGCTAACCACATCCACCCATACTGTGAAATGTGTTCCTGTGGAAAATGTCTGTAGTTTTTATCTTCACCATGACAGTTTCTCAGATACTCCCAGATGTGCTGCTTTGACAGATATCAGTAGGACACCAGAGAGGAATCCAAGGGCTATTATTTCACACTCACTCCTGGGCTGGACAACAAACAGCTGTTTCAGCTTTATTGTCACTTTCCTGCATATTTCACCACTTTAACACTCTTTTTTTATTCTGCTGCTCTCAGAATGTCAATGTTTTGACATCCGAACACATTTTATTTTCAAATTTGTTTTTCATACAACTGGGAGCCAAAACTTTCGAAGTTTCTTTCGTGCCAGTTGCTTGATTTGACATCCATATGGTGTAGTTGTGCCTCTGTATTGACCTTTCACCTTCCCTCTGACCCTAGATGGACACCATGGAGGCTTTGGGAGAAGAGATCAGTGGGATGGCGCGCTGTCCGTATGATGCCAAGCACGCCAATGTAGCCCTCTTTGCTGGTAAGCTAAGACATTTCTGGATAAGTCACACTTATATAAACTATTATCTTTATTATATTTAAATGTATTTTTTTCCCATTCATTCTATCCAAGTTTCATGAGGTGACAGTAGATTAAGTTTGTTTGAAATTCATTCCTGTTCACTGACTGCCATGAGGCAAAAGCATTAAAATCCAATTTTCTGCTATCTGCAGTTATTAAACATGGAAACAGTTTAGAGCTAGATGGGAAAGTTGAGTGTTTTTCAGTGAGGGATTAGTTGTGGTTGCATTTAATATTTTTCTTAATACTCTGTGGTTTATTTTATTGGCAGTATTCCAGCAACATGTCAGAAAGTAAAAGTAGTCCATATTAACAATAACAGAGCAGACTTTAGGCCACATTTGCTTCCTGTCAGAATGTTGCTTCTTATAAAAGAACTTGGAAATTCATCAATTGAATTGTGGTGGCAGAAAAAAAAAAGTCCCTAGCTTTTGTTGCGCTTTTCTGTCATCTCATTTTTTCTTATTCCGTTTCCTTCAATATGCATGTCATTAGAAATAAGTCACAAACGTACGGGGAGCGGAGTGACTCAGCTCTCTGTTGGCGGGTGCGATCCACAGGCTGCTAAAGACATTCGGTCCCTGTTCATAATCAGTGTGAACTGATTTATGGCAGTATCGATGAGCTGTCCCAACCAGTTCAAAGCACGTGAAGAGTGGATGGCGAGCTGGAACAGTTAATGTGGAGCAGAGATGCTTGGACGGAGCTGGAAGCACTGAGTAATCAAGAGGGTTCCTCCGACTGCTATCCTTTCAATTATGTTATTTGAGTTTCCACTGTGGTTAAAGCCAAGGTCTGAGGTCATTCTGGACGGCGTTGTGTTTGGGAATGTGTCTGAATGTGTGTGTGCGAGTGTTAGCGCTTTTGAAATAAGACACTGGGTAATTACAAATGTGCAACATGTTTCGGTGTGTGTATAGTCTGTTGTCTATCAAAGAGAATGTTTGTGAAGTTTATTCATTTTTCTGGTCTGAGTCAACTGAAATATTTTTGTGTACGTAGCCACAACCAACAGGGGTATCTTAGTAGCTGTAGGATTTTCTTTCCTAATGTTTCTGTAACTTTCCTCACTTTCCTCCCTTTTTTGTGTATTCCTCTGTCTTTTCACCCTCGTCCTTTTCCCCTATTTTTCTTTCTTTCCTCCTAATGGCTCTTTCTGTCTCTTGTGTTCTCTCTCCAGATGGCAAGCTTTATTCAGCCACCGTAACAGACTTTCTTGCGATTGATGCGGTCATCTATCGTAGCCTTGGCGACAGCCCTACTCTGCGCACTGTCAAACACGACTCCAAATGGCTCAAAGGTGAGATGAGGCCGTTCAAACAGTCCCCACAATAGGACAGCACCAACCTGACAAAGAAAACAGAAAACAAGCCAGGGTTTGGACATACATCCATGACCCTGCATTTGGCAGTGTATGATGAATGTGCAAATGTGTCTGCACCTTTGCGTGGGAATGATGGTATTATGGGCAACTGCAGGAGTACATCTTAATGTCACATACGCTGCTTGATGCAGATTTATTTTGCCAACCTGACCCCGCTGATATTGTTCTGTTCTAGAGTGGAACACAAAAAAGCCTGGTCTTTTTCCTCACATACAAATGCTTTTTTCTAATGTAGTAAATGATAGATTGCTTTTCTGCGCGGTATAAGTGGTATTCTGGATGTTTAGTGTGACACACAGCATCAGAGTCTGTTGTGGCATTGCACAATTTCATTTTAATTCATATATCTTTCATCTTTTTCTTCCTCAGAGCCCTACTTTGTCCAGGCGGTTAATTACGGGGACTTCATCTATTTTTTCTATCGGGAAATTGCCATGGAGTACAACACAATGGGAAAGGTAAGCACAAAGTCCTAATCTTCTGCTATCATTTGAACTCTAATCAGAGGTGACTTTCTATTTACTGGGAGAATCAGGAAGTGCCTGGGGAAGCAAACAGGATTTGAGTGTATCACATAATGGGAAGGAGACTTTCAGGGGCTGTTAAGGAGGCAAAACATTTTTTAGCAATACTGAGCAGGATGCGCAGCCAAAAATAGATTCAATAACAAAATCTTTTAATGTCTGGAGTTTCCATGTTGCAGTAAAAATACATCTTGAATTGAATGTCTGCATCCGTCCCAAAGCACTCTTGTTTGACCTATCGTCTTAATGTTTCCTAAGAGAAACTCCACCCAAGTGTATCTGAGAATTGAGACAAGAGGGGGGAGGAAAAGACTGAAATACTAACCAGATTTTTGTAGGTACTTCACCACAGTGACAGGATTTTTCTTTTATTTTGTTCTATATCCTCCAATTAAAAAGTTTAATTAGATAGCAGGTAGAAGAAAATAGATTATGTAAACATATATGTACTTTGCAGACTGAATTAAAGTAAACACACGAGACGGTCGACGGTACGAGAACAGAGCTGAGATAACACCAGACACAGAAATGAGGGACTTACTGCTAGAAGTGACATCCGTGTGTTATACAAAACATGAATACAGATCAGAATCACTTCTCTGTTTTGATACCAGTGTCAGTGTAATTACACTGGTGGTGGGAGAACTGATGGAGCAGAGAGCAATTTAACATTTAGTGAATGATATCTCTTCATTATGTCACAGCAGAATAGCTGTCCGTGACAATGTAACCAGTTGCCTGTGCCTCTTTGCCAAACTGATAAATATATTGTGGCATATTGGGTTTAGTTTGAATGCTGAATGATCTGGAAAACAAAAAAAGATGTCTATTTACGTAAGCATATTTCTAAATTTACAAGAAGATGTAAATTGTCTCCGTATGTGCACCGTTTGGCAGATCCTTTGGCGCATTTGTTTGTACACAAGTAGCAAAAAAATTCTGTTGTGAAGGATGAAACATGCCGACTTGTCGCATCTTTTCTGCCAAATGCTTTTACATCTGTGTATTTACATTCATGCATTCAGCCAATGCTGTCATCCAACGTGACTTCCAAGGGTATAAGTTCCACTGAACAAGAAAAACCTGCACCTCTGATTCATAAATGTTAGAGCATCAGTTGGGAAGAGCAGGACTGTGGTGTTTGTACACGGGTGAGGGTGTGAGTTTAGTTGTCTGTGGGCGTGTGTGTCGGGATCTGATTTAAATGCACGTTTGCTCCCATTCACACTGTCAATTTTAGGTCACTGTTAGAGTTATAGCTGTTAAGTATAGTGTGACAACAGCTAATTACAACACTGGCTACAAGATCTAACAGCAGAGTTATAATTACTGCGCTGGCTCCGATCTGAAGCTGTATAGTTTGAACTTTCTGTTGCCAGGTGATGATTCTTAAACAGCACATCAACACATCAATTTACCCCTCTGTCTTTAATTTGCTATGTGGCGATAAAACACTGGATTAAGACCGTATGCTGTCATCCAAAAAATTGCTTGAAATGGTCTTTTGTCAGTTCTGTAGTGTTTTCCACCCTCGTTTTCCCCCCAGAGATTCACTTTGTGCTGTTCCTTTGCTGAGTTGCTACGCACTGATTCAGAGACTTAACATTATAAAAAACATACCAGATAAAAGTTGAAATACTCACGCTTATTGTGAAAAGGATTCTTAAAAGCATTACAAAAGTACCATAAAAGTAAAACTCTTTTAAAGTACCATTCCATCAGTTGTGTTGACACAAAGCCAAATGTTCCCTACACCATGATTTGATGAATATCTCTCTGGCTTCATTCACTAAGGGATCATCTTTGAGGTGAAACCCTCAAAGAGTAGTCTCAAGGCTTCGTATGTGGCTGTTCTAAATCTGCTGTGTAATCTGCTTCCCTTTCATCTGCACTTCTGGTTAGTCTTGTCATAAAAAATATCTGCTGCAGTAGATGAACCTTGGGAGTGGGAATATGGAGCTTGGACTCAAAAAAGAGAAACATGGTTAGCTCCCCGCTTCTGACAACCGTTCTCATCAGCAATTCACTTAAGCTAAGGAAGAAATGAGCCAATGATGCTAACGTTTGTTCACTTCCTGGGTGTTGATGTCTTTTTGAGGATGTTATCACGTTATTGACTGCAAGAATATAACCAAAAAGGTCCAAATAAAGAAATGCTACTGTTTTCTGGAAGTAATTCAAAACGATTTTGACAGGCAAAAAGGAGACAGGGTAGTCACGAAATTGTCTGAAGATGATTAAAAAACCCTGGAAAATCCTACGTAGTAAAAAGAAAACACACACACACAGTGACAATAGAATCCTAAAACTAGCCTTTAAGGGGAAAAACCTTAAAATGTCACATGAAGTGCATGTATAGCTTTCAGGGTTAGCAAAGTTTCTAACCATCCATACATGCCAGCTGACACCAGGCAATAAATAGAATATGTATTATCAACCAATTGCACTAATTCTTAAGAACAGCTTATTATTACAAGTTTAGCTTTCGCAATTGTCTCTGGATGTCTCCCCTGTCTGCCGGGCCATGTAGACTGAAATAAATAGCCTCTAGTGGTGTCACTTGATGTATTTCTTGCTCCGCAGCATCAATTTTGATCTCCTTTGTAAGATTGCCTTTCATGAGTGACAGTGCTGTAGGGGTGCACAACTAAATCTGAGGAGGACTCTTTTGACAGACGCCTCAGAGCAAGAGACTGAGATGCGACATGCGATATCAGTGGCAGTTGATTTAAGACGCTGGGTCATTCAAACGTGACTTTTCAATTCTGTGACACGCAGGTGGTGTTTCCCCGTGTGGCGAGAGTTTGTAAAAATGACAGAGGAGGCTCCCCCCGCGTCCTGGAGAAACAGTGGACCTCATTTCTGAAGTCTCGTCTGAACTGCTCTATCCCCGGGGATTCTCACTTCTACTTCAACATCCTGCAGGCTGTAACCGATGTCATTCACATCAATGGGAGGGATGTGGTGATGGCTACTTTCTCCACTCCTTACAACAGGTATTCTGAGTGACACAGAGCTAAAGCTATTATAAACCTTTGTATTTGCTTTATTTCCAAATAGGGTCAAGAGTTTCAAAAGCTCTCTTTAACTTTGCATTTATTATCCTGATTATCTCTCTCAGTTTGAAGTACTCTGTAAAATGCCTTCAACTCATCAACATTATGACATCTTTAATGTTAGCCCTCTGCTCCCCGGCTGTGCCCAGTAGGGATTTGTAATTTCTGAGCATTACAGGGTCAACATTAAAAAAAATCTGTCAAAACAATTAGCTTCACTTTTGACACAGAGGTTTTTATTTATTTATTCTTTCCCCCTTTGCAGTTCAACTGTTCAGAGAGTTTTGATAATCTAAATTGAAAATGACCACAAAGCCATAGAGTTAACTGATAGCTCACACATATTGTAATTTTCTGTTTTATGGCTGCGTTTTAGCAGATAAGACAATTGCTTGTGACAACGCAATTGAGCATGGTTAATGGACATCAAAACCCAATGAAGCAGTGCCTCTGAAATATTCTATAAGCGCCCATTTTGATCCTGGCATTCATTTTCCATTTCATTGTCAGGGGGTGAAATTAGAGGGAGCCCATTCAGAGTGCAGGCAGCAGTTTGTGGTGTTTCATTTTCTTTCTGGAAGTGCAGCGGGGGTTCCTGCATGACACAGTCACTTGCTAACTGGCCAGCTTTCTCACGATCTTTCCGCTTCATTAGAAGCCTGGTACAAACAGAAATATGACTGTCTAACTTTCTGTAGATATTCAATGCAGACAGCAATTACTGAAATTTAGCAGATGAGCCAAGAATTAATAGATCTCTGACCTTGCTCTTCATAATACTGCCCTTGTGTATTCTGTCTCCCCAGTGTCTACATTATGAGTTTAACCCATGATGCAACAGCAAGAAAATCCTTCCAGTAAAAAGAGAGAAAAGCATTTCTATCCCTGTAAACAACTCTTACTTTTTGAGTTTGAAAGGAGACACTTAAAAACTAGAGGGGTGACTCAGTAATCAGCTATGCATTGATTCCACACAGAGAAAGATGTCATAACAAGATGGGTGGGTTTCCTCCAAAAATGAATGGCAATAACAAGATTATCTGTTGCCAATATCTGGAGCCTGACAGTGGACTCTTAATGAACTTTGAGGCCACGAGGCTTTTGGGGAAACCCAGTGAAGGGTTGAATGTGTGTCCTCAGGACGTTCAGCAGACACCAACACTGAAACAAATACCTCATTGTGTGAAATAACACTGCAATGTTTTTAATTAAATGACAATTAGTGCAGTCGAAGAATAATTGTTCTTAGAATGTCAGCTTCATGTTACAAATTTGGGGAGAAAACAAACATTTGTGCAAATGGCGGATTTAACTCTTTGAATGGGTTTCGTCAATGCATGTCTGTCCCTTGGTGATAGTCCAGAATTGGCAAGGTGTTCTTTTGAAATGTTAAGTCAACAGACTTGTTTATGTAGTGTTCTTTGTGGGTTTTCTTTGTGGCTGCAGTATTCCAGGTTCAGCAGTGTGTGCCTACGACATGGGGGAGGTGGCCAAAACGTTTACAGGGCGTTTCAAAGAGCAGAAATCACCAGACTCCACCTGGACGCCTTTTCCTGAAGAGAGGGTTCCCAAGCCAAGGTACGACTGTAGCTCACCGACTGACACGTACACACACACACACACACTTTGAAACCAGAAGTTGCACCCTTCCTGTCTTTATTCTAACTCACAACGCTCATATATTAGTACATCCCCACTATTTTTGGACTGGGATTACACATCCTGTATCACACTGTTTCTCACCTACATGGCGCTTGCGGTGTCACACTAATCCAAATGCCACCTGTTTTCAAAGTTGCACCCATTATCTCATCCTTTCCCACATGCAGTTGCATAAGGACAAATTAAGCTCGAGATGATTTTAAAGAGCACTGGCTAATTCCACAACCTAATCAATCTCAGTTCAATGCTCTCTAATTAAGGCGCTGCCCCTCGATCTTCAAGGAAAAAAAGATAAATGATTTGCGACATTAGAAAGCCTGCGCTGTACTCATGTCAATTGGTCCACAAAATTCAGTTCACCTTATTTCCTTAGTTAGCTCAAATTACTGGTTTATGTCCAACACGGTCATACGGCCAAAGGAGTGGGTTTAAGTGCTTCTGCAGCAGTTGATCTGACTGATTTGATTTTTCATCCTCTGGTATCTTGAGACCTTTTTCTCTGCAGGCAAGCAGACTAATATCTGCAACAATGCCACCAAGGTCTGGTTTTGCAGCAGACCCTTCCTCCATGTGTCAGACTCTCATGCTGAATCAGTTACAGAATTTCATATTAAAGAGACGTCTGCTGCCGTTCTGCTGTCCTTATGTGTGCACACATAAACAGTATACTAACAGTAACAACGTTACATTGGCGGGAGCTGACTCAGACTCATTTATACTTTAGCTCAAGCACAAATTTGAACTTATATAGTTGATTAAACTTTTATTTGAGTTCAAGACTGTTTTGCACAATCACATTTTCATGAGAGTGCTAAATCTTCCAGATGTTTTGCAAAAAATCTTCTGCTATCAATGTAGTTTTGAAATATGATGACAGTGGTGTACCATACATACGTACAAATATATATTTATATAGTTCACTTGCAAATTTCCAGTATACATCCTTCACAGTACTATGTAAAAATATGTCTGGGATCTCTTAAAATGGAATGTGGATATTTGTTCTGGAGCATGAACATATGTTTAGGGTCAGCTGGCCTGGGTGTATATTATGTGCTGTGAAAGGATATCAAAGATCACACTGTAAAAAAGGTTTTACAAGCTATTGGAGGTGACATGTCCGCAAAGGGGATTTGCTATCAAAAGCAGCTTCTCTTTTACAAGGAGATCTCCAGCTCCCTGTAAAAGGATCAGATAGATAGAATGTCTCACTGCTTTACCCTGTTTCTATAGAAAAGAAGGCATAGTATCTTATCCTATTTGACCAAAGCCTCTTGGATTGAGAGTTTAGTAATTTACAGGTTCACTGTATTGATTTTAAGGAAGTAGTTTTGTTCTTGATTGGCCTCTTGTCGTGAAATGGTTTTTCATTTGTACTTTTTCCTCTATCTGCTCCCAATTTTTTTCCTTACCTGCAATTCCATCTTGTCATTGTCTTCCTCTTGCTATCCTCCATTTTTAGACCTGGCAGTTGTGCTGGCACTCCATCTATGGAGAGATACAAGGTGTCCAACGAGTTCCCTGACGATACTCTAAATTTCATCAAGATGCATCCTCTGATGGACGAGGCTGTGGCATCCATTGCTAACAAACCATGGTTCCTTAAAACCATGGTCCGGTGAGTATTGCACACTTCAAAAACTGTCCTTGTCAGAGATCCATGGGCCTTTTCAGCCCAGGATGGCAATTATTTTAAGTGTTGCCCATAGAGTCAGACTCATTAGAAGACAACAGTGCTATATCACTCACTGGATACTGACCTCACTTTACTGGAAAGGAGGTAACATATATTCACACCTCCATATCTTTTTCCCTGAGTCACGATTGAATGATTCAGTAAGTGTAACATTGTTTTTGGGCCCTAGAAAACCCATGCAGGTTTATTTTAAAAAGCCCTTGAGCCCTTGAACAGGTATAAAGATATTTCAAAGAGGATGCTGGAGAAAAACCTCTTTCATTTTAGTTGATGCTTGCTTTTACTCTCATGTTTCTGCAACAGAACCCATTTACTAAAAGCCTCACGGTAGCTGTTATTTGATACTACAGGTCTATCTGGCTTTACTTGCTCTACAATAGGCATTAAAGCCAGCCCCTATGGACAAAGAGACAAAATACCACGGGCTCATCAGCAGGGGCAAACTCGCTGAGAGCGCATGTGATAAAACTTTGAAGATGTGTCTCTTGGTTTGGCCCTTGCCCTTCACTGCATCTGCTCCGGATTTAAGGCTGATAGTTTTCCATGTTCTTGACAAGCCTCAGTGGCAGTACCTTCACTTTTTTTGCATCATATCAAATCTCACTGCTACTTTTCCTGGAGACTGACCTACATTCTGTGATGTCCCAGTCAGAATATGCTAAGCCTCTCATCAATTGTTTATTAAGGCACTCAGATTTTATTGTGATGGTTTCCGTCTTAATCAGGAATCCGATTATCTTTTTATGTGAAATATCATCTCTATCAGCAGAGTTTTACATGCATATTAGTCTTTAAAGCAATTAAAGCATTAGAAATGCTTGCAGGCTGATGGAGGGTATTATTTTAGCTTCAATTTGGATTATTACTCTTGATCTTAAGTCAACTCGAAATGAATTCAGTTATAGGATTTGATCCTTGCTGCAACCCAAAGAGGAAACCCCAATATATAGCACAAGCCTTTTTCCTCAAAATGAAAACGCTTTTTCTGTCTCGAGATTTCTGTGCTGCCGCAGAGACCTCAGCTGGCTGGGAACAATCAGTCACTTGAATGGAGAACACATGCTGAAGAATCTCCCTCTTGTGATTTTTATTATCGTGAAGAGGAAAGACTGTGAAAGTCTCAGTGGTCGAACTTGTATTGTTCTGATTAGATCAAATCCCCCTGACACAGTCATTGGAGAGACTACATCAAAACTCTAGACCTTTACATTTTTGTCAGGGTTAACTGGATGAAGCCAGTTTCTTAGAGCATTTAAGGATATATTTTAAGACATTAGGTGCTGCAAAGAGCATTTCAATTTGAAATCCCATTATGTAAAAAATTGCTTTTCTTTTGTAAAATACAAGTGAAATTGACCATCAAGTCCAAAGAAACTCTCTCTTCAGATTAATAAATATTTTACGGTTGAGTACCTTTCAACTTTACATGAAGAAGAGTCAGTAAACGTTAATGAGGGTAACAGTGGACTTCCTAGCTTTCCGGATAAACCCCCATCTCTAATCTTTAAATCCCATTTTGTTCTATTAACCCCTAAAGCCATAAGCTGTATTTTGAAACTTCCGACATCCTCAAAGCCAATCATTATATACTCCATAACTTTGGGGCCAAACTGAAAAACCACAAACTCTATTGATGTAGACATGTCAAAATCTTCTCCGATACAATACCTTCCTTAATCTGTATCAACTGTACAAAGAAAAATAATGAATCAGTTAAATAATAAAAAAGAAGAAAGTCTCTTTATTCGTATTTATATTCTTCTACCAAACTTAACCTGAATTGTTTAAAAAGGCATTTCTTAACTCTGTTCTTGTTGTTCTTACTTGATATCGATTCATTTTTATGAATACCCTAATGTGTAACCAAGCATCAGTCTTAAATGTACTGACTGGCAAGTGTTTAATCTTTTTGGTGGGATGGGAGGTCTATGCAAGTGGGGCTCTGCCAACCTTTAGATCTGCTTCTTTCAATCAAAAATAAATAAATTAGATTAAAGTGTCTGACAGTCTATATGTTTATTTGGATTAAACCATATGATATTATTGAAATTATGAGTCCTTTGCCTCTTCTTTAGACATTTCACATGAATGGTGTAAAGCATGTTGGTGGTTTGACTAATGTGTACCAATGTCCACTGCTATTTGAAAGATCTAACATATTTTATTGTCAGCTGTAAGATGATTTGCTTTACTTGGTATTTCTTCTTCCAGGTACCGTCTAACTCGCATTGTGGTGGACAATGAGGCAGGTCCTCATAAGAACCACACAGTGGTGTTCTTAGGATCAGAGAAAGGCATCATTCTCAAATTCTTGGCCAAGATGAGCAATGGCCTCCTCAATGACAGCCTGTTTCTGGAGGAGCTCAACGTCTACAACCCTGACAAGTATGTCATTCTGGGTACAATTTTGGTTGGTAGGATACAGCTGCATTAAACAAAGAGAGGCATTTTTTGCATATATATGTGTGTTATTGAGGGAGAATGTGTTTAATTTGTGTTTCCACCATATATCAACTCAGCCAACCCACCAACTCCATCACAACCAGTCAATTCTCCTGACCCAAGCTCTGTAGTGAGGCCAACATACCAGATGGCTACTCTATCATTTAAACGAGTTTTATCAGGTTACACTTTGCCCAGCCGCAGCTACTAAATTAAAGACATAGACACTAAGGCTGTGGATAACATAGCAGTATGGTTTCTAACCACAGCCAAGCTAAGCACTTCCAAGATGTTATTCTTCAGAGCCAGCCTGTGATCTCTTGCTAATACACTACATGTTTTTCGATACCATATGGATGTCAGTTTGTGTCCATGAACTTGATGCAGTATTGAGATGAGCACTGTCATGTATTTGAAGTATAAGGAATAAGGAAAAATACAACAAAGCAAAGTCTTGCCAAAGTAAACATTTGGTTGGGAGGTAATAGATGAGAGGGAACGAATGCCAGCACAAAAAAAAGGGAGAAAAAATAGTTGTGAGGACCACAGATGAGAGAGGGGGAGCTGGGAGGGACAAGTGGAACAGAGAAAGGAGATGGGATTGCTTTTAAGGTTTGTTACCAAACATGACATGACAGTGTTTTGAGCTGTCTGTTGGGGATGAAGAGGAGGACGCTTGTCATGCCTCCTTGTAGCCTCCCCCCTGGATTTCCCTGTTTCTTCTCTCCTGTTGACTGGGCTGAGCATTTGTCGGCTGCTGGCCATCTGGCTTTAGTTGTATACAGTAAGTGACATGGCCTCCCTGCCTGGCTGGATCAGCGTAGGCCCGATTGTTGTGCATTACCCAGTGTAGATGGACTCTAAGCCCTAATTGAGAGAGGTAATGCAGAACCATCCATCCATCCATTTTCCATTAATCCAATTGAGGGTCGCAGGCAGGGGGGCTGGATTATATCCCAGCTGTCATTGGATGAGAGGTGGGGTACACTTCTGACAGGTTGCCAGTCCATCACAGAGCTGTACAAAGACAGACGAGATGAAAAAACACATGCCAGCACGCTATCCACATTTTAAAAAGTCAATTTTACTTTGAATTTACTCTATACCCATGAATCTGCATAAAGAGTGAGGAATGTGGATACAAATGGAGAACCTACAAACTCCACACAAAAAGGCCCCAATCAGGATTCAAACCAAGAACCCTATGGCTGTAAGTGGATTTGTCTAGCTGACCAGCACACCACTGGGCAGCCCTAATGCAGAACCAGAGCTTTGCCAAAGTCAAACTAAATCCCAGGAGTTGCATGGCAGGATAGAGTGATGAGCATAGGGAGAGAAGGGATAGAAAGATGGTAGACACACCCAAAAGGGATTAAAGTGTGCCCCCATGGAGATGCATAGAGAAAACCACGTAACAGAGATGGATGAGTGGACAAATGTTGGAGGGAGTGCAGGGGCTTGAAGTGGAGTTAGTGGATTTTACAGTTTAGCGCTGCTGACTGCTCACAGTGCCCATCTGTCTGTTTATCTGTATCACCCTTTCTTTATCTCTCTTTAGCTCCTACTATGTTCCCGACCCCCATGTTGTCTTGCCCAGCTTTATCTGTGTTTTTGCTGACCTCAGTGTATTAGTCTGTTTCCATCTTAATCTCTACTTTTTTTCTTTAAGAAAAAGAAGCTATTTCTCTTGAATCTCAGGTTCTTGTCCCTTTAATTTCAACATAATTGAAATAAAGATGCAATAATCTGAATCTGCCCCTCTTCTTCAACACCTACAGGTGCAGTATAGATGGGGTTGATGACAAGCGCATCATCGGTATGCAAATTGACAGCAAGAGTTATGCGCTGTGGGTGGCTTTCACATCCTGTGTGGTCAAAGTGCCGTTGTCCCGCTGCGAAAGGCATGGACGATGCAAGAAGTAAGTTTGATGCTAGCAAATAGAATCATCATTCCTGCTCAGATTTGTATTCATTTCAACTCATATTTCAGTGTACAATATTTAATGGTATGTGTGATTATTACACAGGTCCTGTATAGCTTCCAGGGACCCGTATTGTGGTTGGGTGTCAGAGGGAGCCTGCAGACAGGTGGTTGGCAACATCAAGTAAGTAAAGACAGATGCAATAACAAGAGAAGGGTTAAAAGATGCTGAATTGTCTGTAGAGAAACTGTTTTCATACGTGTTTTATATTTTGGTTTGTTAGATTAATTAAGATTTTCAAAGAAAAAAGATTATTTCTAATTTTATGTTTAAGCACTGCCACACCATAGATCAGAGTGAAATGAGGTGATTTTAGGCACTGTCTCTAAAAATGGGCAGTGATTTAAAAAGGCAAATTCTGAAAAAAACAGGAAATGCCATATTACTAGTACTATGGTACTATGCTGCCATACTACTACATTTATTGTCTTTGTTATTTCTGTCTATTGCTATTCAATTGTTTTAGTACGCTAAAATTAAGACCAAAAGTTTCCAAATTGTCATGGAGAGAATTCACAAGTTGCCAAGAAATAAACATATGAGCCTCACTTGCTCAGAAACTATAACTTTGGTTTAATTAAATTGGTATTCAATCTTATTTGTAATACCTGATGCCATTCACCATTCGCCACGATCTTTTTATATTCATGGTGTGTAATTATTGTTACCTCCAGCTAAAGGGGCTGTTGGAAGGATGGATGGAAGGAAAGCGTTGTTTGCCTCAGGCCTGGGATTGGATGAGCAGGGCAGGGGAAAGTTTGATGGCCACAGCAACTATAATTTTGTGGCTGTAGTTATGACAGAGAACTAGAATGTGCTTTCTGAACAAACACCATATGAAGTTTTGTGGTGGGAAAAACATTTTAAAGATGAAGTCATAACAAAAGGACCACTGCTCCTCTGGCTATTTGACGATGATTGAATTTGATCCCCCAGCTGCAAAGTGATTGGTCTGGCATGGCAATGCACCAAATGCACCACATAAAACTTGCATATCGAAAACGCAGATGCTACCCATCCTATTATTATTCTGTAGAGCTAATGGGATGGACAGATCTGATTGAGTTTCCACTTGGGAGCAAGAGTCAACAGAGGCATTAGGCGGGCTGATGGCCTTGTTTCTTAAATGTACAATATTTTTAAGTGGAAAAGACTAGGGATTTGGCCTGGTTGGATCTGTTGGTCAGCAGTGAGCTGCTCAAAACAATTGCAAGGATGAACAGAAGAGGTGAAATGAGGTTGGGGAGAGATTTGTCAAACAGGCCCTCTTTACTGGTATTCTTTCCTCTGTATGTCCTGCCTTGTCTGTATATCTATTTTTATCCATATTTTTCCTCCATTTTTCCTCTGACATACTCTTTCTCTCTTGCAACCCTCCCCTCCTTTTTTCCTCCATCTGGCCTTGATGCTAGTGTGCCAGCTTTTCCATGTGGAGTTAGGCCTCTTATACCTATTGCCTATAAACAACTTGCACTTTAGTCTCTCCCCAGTATGGTCATTGGTCCTCCCCTGTTCATCCAGACAATTGCAGATAAGAGTGGTTGTAGTATTTTAAAATAGATAAAAATTTCTAATGGTGTAGTCAGCATATCAGATGAGAAAACCCAAACAAAATGTGGCCATATGCCGTTGAAATGAGTCAGAAATAAGTCAAAGACAGACTTGAATGCTTGTTTGATACTGTGTGTACTGTACATCTACTGTTTTTCAGTTAACCTCAAAATATGAAGAATTAATGCTATCACAGCTGACCATTTCAGCAACGAAGTCCCCCATGTGCAACCTTACATCTCACATAATAGTCCAATCTGATGGAATTTGGAATTAAATACAGTTCTTAGTTGCCTTTAGTTTAGAAGCCGATATAAAAATGCATAATGGGGTTGCAGTGGGATGTTAACCTCTGGTTTGACTGCTGGTAGTGTCACATTCAAACACACTGTGCTTCTGTTTCCATAATACTGCCACTATAGGACTGACCTCCTCATTGGAGGGTTCACACTGTGGTTCATTCACTCTTCATATGTGCCAAGTAAGGCCCAGACATCTGTAGTGTGAATACTCATTGTTAATTCATCCCAATGCCAGTGGGATTTAAACCCTGTAAACTTGAACTCACCAAAGTCTGCAATGGTATTTCCAACCTACATTTAAAACCAAGATGATAAGGTGGCTTTGGTCTTTTTAAAAAACATGGGAACTTTTCTGGGTTTGAAGAGTTGATGTCTGTAACTAACATTCAGTAGACACTTGGTGTTCTTTGACTACATTTGTCCTTCACAATGCTCTGTTGTGAAACTTTGCATATGCTTTGTGATGCTGATCTTCTTGTTAAGTAGCCGTTGTTCACGATTTAAACAGGATTGGTTGTCAAGACCATCACTGCCATCCTTTATCAAACTGACCCCTTTAATGTCATGGTTGAATAGTATACGCATGAAGAGGTGGATTATACTAAAACAAATAAAATAAAACAAATATAATCTAGATGTGGCCTATCTTAATAAAATTCCCTTTCGGCATATTTTTTTCTCTGATTACTACTAAAAAAATAGGTGATTTTTTAAAAATCTCTTCATTCTATAATTGAGGCTACTGGAGGGTGAGGAAGATGAGAGGCGGGTGAAAAAGCAGAGGAGGAATACTGAGTACTGAGCTGAGGAGAACTGTGAAAAGCTGTCATGCGTGACTGTGATCCTGGTTGACAGTTGGTCCGCTCTGTTTCACCGATCTTCTTACAGCCTGCTTGGTGGTCTTTCAGGGAGAAAACAGGTCTCAGTGCAGACTGCATCAGAAAATAACATCTCCAAAACTCTCTGCCCTGTGTGTCATATGATGGCCCTCAAGCTTGGCTACCCCCCACTGCTCTGCCCTTGGCCCATGTGATTATAATGACACACTCACATCTGTACTGATGCCCGATAAAGTCAAACACTGTGTGGAATGAGTAAAAAATTACACACAGTTAAGTTAATGCGAGTAGAAATTTAGAAAATAAGCATTTTCAAAAGTTCCAGCATACAATAAGTTCAAAAGATTCTGCCATATTTGCAGAATTTATTTAAATGTAGTGTCAGCGGTAGGGTCAGCGGTAGGACTAACTCACCTTAGCATAGACAGAAAAAGATTTACCCACTCTCTCATACATAGGTGATATTTTCTTCAGAATCAAAAGAGAAGAAGGTAGTTTTAAAAAGGGAGGTTTTGTTGAACTATCATTTCTTCTTTAAGCAACAATATGAGCTATTGAGTTGTTACTTTTTCTAAAGTGAAGTGAAGTGAACATCCACTAAACACAAATTTCGTTGAACTTCTGTAGGGGGAAAAATCATAAAAAACTGTTACTGTCAAACTGTTTTTCAGCCAGCAGAAGATCTATTTTTTTATTATTGTGAAATATGCATACATCTTGTTACATCACTACCTCTGGAACTAGCCCTAAACCAAATATAGATTTACTCGACTGTCTACACTTCAGCTAAAAACTGATTCGAGGTCTCCGGGGCACCCGCAAGGCGTTCCTTGATTACGGTCCAGCATCGGGCGTCCTATAGCTTACACTGGGCACTTGGATATGGTGTGTTTCACTTGGTTTCTGTGGTAGCTTTCCCACAGCTTTGCTACTTTGCAAGGTGTGGCAGGCCTGCGTGGCCTGGCCTGTTTTCCACTGCTGACCATGACGTCTCTGTTCCCTGCAGATCAGCCTTTGAGCAGGACGTGGAGCATGGTAACACAGATGGCTTGGGAGACTGCCAAAGTAAGCAGGCACTCTTCACTCTTATCTTTCCTCCTCTATTCCATACCCCACCATCACCACTCCTCTTTTCTCTATTAACTCTGTCTCTCTTTTCTCAATCCTTCGTTTGCTTCGTCACTTTTTTTCCCTTCCGTCTGTTCCCCTTTCGAATCTTCTCCTTCAGCCTCTTCCTTCCATCTGTCTCATTCAGTTCTTCTCCTCTTCTTCGGTTCTCTGGTCCATCATTCAATAAAGTGTTGTGTTTCGATAGAAGACGGTTTCTTTTGCAAATTTAATCAAAAACAAACATTCAGCAATACCGAGGGGACAGATTTTCTATGTGAAAAGGCTCATTATGAAAGACAAAAAAGGATGCAAACCTAATCAAGTCAGCCAATTCTAATTGTTTTTCTCATATTAGAAATTGAAATCTTGATATTAAGCTGACTTTCTCTGTTTGATTAAAAAAAAAACGACATAAACCCTTTCAAAGTAAATTAAGCTGGTCATTTTTCTTTCAAGTCAAATATATGATTAGTGAGTGCTGCACCTTCACCAACTGCAGAGGTCAAATAAAGAGTCTCTGATTAACAGTGAGGAGAATATTGAGCGGCCTGTCAGTTTTGAATTAGTTTAAATATCATGGCTTTTCATCATGTGAGAGCACATAAGATCTCTTTACTGCATAGTATAACCGGCCTCCCTTTTTTTCTTTTTCTTTCAGACTCTTTTGTGGCACTGAATGGTAAGTATCCCTCTCCCACAACATAAGCAATCTCATAAAAACAGAGGCTGCCTCACATTTTCCTATATATCTTTAACCTCAGCCACGCCTCTTCAGCTGTTCATTCAATCATTCCCTCTCAAGAAAATGAAAACTCCTCCCACATCTGTAAAGAACAGTTATTAATGACACAGTTCTGACTGAGTTTACTTCCTTCTTTCTTTCTGATAGACATCCCTTCCGGTTATGAAGGTAATGAAAATGATGAAAGTCGGTCACTTTCACCACTTCATACTGTTTCTCCTGTTTTAGCCCCTTTAGCCCCTTTGGTGGTTTAGTTAGAGGTCCTAGTGAGAGCAAATCAGAACCGAAATACTTTCAGGCTGATTCTGTTAGTCTTTTGGATCTTTTTTTTTCTCCTTGTTCTTATCACCCCTTCCTTTTTACCCTCCCTGCAGTAGCATTGATTAGTCCTGACCTTTGGTTTGTTAATTGGATGGATCTGATTGTTGAGGTTTAGAGTCTTAATGGTGAGGCATTTAGTCGCTGTTAAATGGGACATGTGTCCATAGAGAGAGCCAGATATTAAACTGCCTTGTTTAGAGACTGTTTCTGCCAACCGCACAAACTCAAACATGCCTAAAAAGAGCTGCCGTAAAAATCCACTGTAAACAAGCATCTCTCACAGTCTTCTCATTTCATACTATATAACAATCACATTGGATTGAAGGTACAGTTTTTCCTCAACACGTTTTTTAAAAAGTAATAAACATATGTGAGTGACCTGTAGCAAAGTCACTCTTCTCCATAAAACACCCACCTACTGTATACTCAAATCCACCCCTATGTTTATCTTATCGGAGGGTGTGTTAGCTTGTTTTTAGTCAATCTCTGTTCTCTCTCAAACACATGCACATGCAGTGCCTCGCAGCTGCCAGATCAAAATGGTCAGATCCATACAGAATGACAAGAATAGATATTTTGAAGTCTTTCCAGAAAGCCCTCTCACTCACTCCCCGTGGCTTTTCCCCCGCTGTGATCCTTCCTCCTTTTGGATGTCCAGGGTCATCGAAAAAGCATCTGTGTTGGTGTGCCCCCCCGTAGTGCTGAATATGCTCCCACAGGCTCCGCCGTGTGTTTCCAGGCACACACACACAAACTCACACAGGCAACACCCAGTTTTCAATACAACCTCACAAACTCTCAGACTAATTATCTATCTTTTAGCAATTGATAGGGATTTGGCGATAAATATTTGTCTCCTCTCCATTTTCCTCCTCTTCCACACCAGACTAGATATCCACCCCTCTGATTTAATCAGAAGAAATAGAGGGATGTGCATCCTTTGGCAGTTTAGGGCATTTTTTTCCCCTTCCTTATCCATAGAGGAATACTGGAGCTCCGAGCTCTCTGTATGTGTGTCATCTGCCTGAATTGCACTTCCCCTGGCGGTAGGGGAATGAATTATAAAATAGGCCTGTCACACTAATCTCTCAGCCTTGGGCCAATAGTTAAATAAATCATTTTAATGATCGCCACGCCACACAGAAGAGGAGGAGGCTCTGGATGGTGTTGTGTGTGGGTGTCTATTGTGGGTAGTCTACCAGGGTTGCATCCCCGTTTTCAGATGCAAGCATAAACATATATTGAACTGTTACGTGCACATCCCCAAGCAAACATTTAAATACTGTCACTTCCTCCGTGGAGACAGCTTGTCAAAATGGGAACTCAAGGCTGAGAACCACAAGAGGCTTTTGATATAAGTGTTGTCACTCGCTGTCTCAGGAATGCTTATTTTTAAATACGTATCTTTAACATAATATAATAAATTAAATATATATCAAAGGTAAAAGTCTGTAGGGTTGCTGAACTGTAAGCATGTGTGAGTAACGGTAATTTGAATGCCATGGTTAAAAAATAAATATCAAAATAAATGAACAAATTTGGCTAGTGCTAGAAAATGGGAAACTAAGTGCCAATTGTATGAATATTGTGTGCGAAAGACAGAGAAGGGATATGTATCATCCATTAGCCACACATTGAAGAATAGCTGAGCGTTATTCAACTGAAAAATCTATATAATTATTTTTTTGACAAATTGTGAAAAGGCACAGTTTCACAGAACACAAACCATCATTAACAATTTGCATGTTTTGTGAAGCAAATGAACCAATCTAATGACAACATATAAGAGGCAGAAAAGCAGCCTTTTTTTCACTGTTGAGAGGTTGTAACCACAGATTGATTGCAAAATCAGCTTGCAAATGTCTTAAATTATTAATTGCTTGTTAAAATAGTTATGGAATCATTAATGTTCACTCTAATGACTTTGCTTCTGCTTGAAAACAAACTTATGATTTAAAGTTGAAGAAGTTGTTGCTGTACATCACAGTGAATACAACACTGCTACAAAATTAATCAAAATATTTTATTTAGATAAAGCTCTGAAAAGAAAGCAGGAAGAACATGAGATGAGTTGGAAGTACTTTGTATTTTGAAAAAAATACAGGCAGAGCTCTCCACAGGATTGAATGGGAGAAAGTTTGTCTTTTGTCCTACATACGAAAGAGAGGCCCCCCCATAGTCACTGCAGAGTAATACAACGGTATGACAGCAGGCCCAGCAGAGATCTGACATGTCAGTCAGAACAGGAGGGGGTGGAAAAAGGATGAAAGAGATGCGGGGAATGACGGAAAAAGGACACGTGTTGATCCTGAGAAACACCCACACTAACACACGTATTTGCTAATGAACCGCTAACAGTCACAAAGGAAACACTCGGTTGACTCACACGGCCCAGTATCTGTCCTTGTGCGTGTTTGTGTCTGTGCGCCTGCTTTTTCAAAGAGGAATAGGGGCGTACATGCTTGTATGTGAGCACACTCAGACTCGATCGGGCCTTGTTTGCCTCCACCGGAGCCTTCCCCCGTCCGCTGGGAGCGTGAGTTAACCTGTGTTGTGTTCGGCAGGCCGCCATCACCACCACCATCACCATAGCCTCACACTTCCCACCTCAGCCCTGCCTGAGGCCGCGGAGGGCCCCCTGGGGCGGGGCCGCATGGTGGAGCGGAAGGATCCCCCAATGAGTTCTGACACGGGGGAGGACCCCTACATGGCAGTGCCATCTCAAACTCAGCACGAAGCCAATGGTAAGCCTTGGAACGCAACGGCAACAGTCAGTATGGTCCGCTGTCACCTGTGGCAAGGGAGAGGTGGGGGAGGGGGGGGGGGGGGGGGGGGGGGGGGGGGGGCGGCGAGTGGAATAAGGTGTTTACGTAATTGAGATTTACAACTGCCTGGCTGCTTCCAGCTGACGAGGTGCAGGAATGCTGGACGACTTTCTCTCTAGGGGACAAATTGCCTCACGCTGCAAGTAAGCCCTCCCCAGAAGCGTATGCAAACACAACTACGTAGCGCACACACACGCGCAGGCTCACGCATGTACACATTCAGCGCTCATTAGGATGTCGGTAAGCGCGCACAATACCTACGCACACATGTTGTGGGATGGATTTATTATCCATGGCCCGTAATGTCCCACAGGAGATGTAATATCCAGACCATTACACACTGAAAAGGAGGATGGCAATGTATTTATTTCCTCAAGAAGATGGCCCAGTACCCAGCTCTGTCATGCTTTGCGACACAGTGACATGACATTGAGTGCCCTTTTCTTATGCGTTAACAACCTGCCTAATGCTGTGCCGCCTCAAGGACAGCTCACTGGATAAATGAGTCAGAGTGAAAAGGATAGAATGGGAGGAGACGGAAAGGACAGCACCTATTGAGCAGGGCGAAGGATAAAGGCTTCTGCAAATTTGCCTAGTCATTAGAATAAAGCAGATAGACCTTTACCACGTCACATTAGACTAACATGCAGCATGTGTCTGCTCTATTATAAAGTTAGGAGAAAGTAATGAAGAAGTAAAGAAAAATAATAGAAAAGGAGAAAGAATATTGAGGTAGGACTCAAGCACACTGAAACTTCTAATAAAACTGGCTCTGGTAAATGAATTCAAGTTGAAAGAACACACAGAACAGAGAACACAGAGAATATTTCCTTGTTCACATGGCTAAGAGTCTTTGAAGAAGAGAAGCATTGACAATAAAGAATGACAGGATTATTCGCATGAAAATCTATGCAAACACGTTCAAAGACACTGTGTGATGGCGTAGCAGGGTTTTCACAGGAAGTAGGGCCCTATAAAATTCTAAACATCAAAATAATTACATTACATATTTCAGCCTCTCGTGTCTGGAGTAAAGGGAGGCGCAGCGGGGAGCGCAGCATTGTCAGCTGGAAGCAGTGGGGCACCAGTGGGTAGACCCAAGCACAATGATGGCAGAATCTTCAGACAGCATGCCTACAGCCAGCATCACAACATGCTGCCGCCCCCTTAAGTTGCCTTTACCTGAGCAGGTGTAGCATTACTTGAGCCTCACAAGGGACAAAGAGGAATTTTTCCAATATGGCAGAAGCTCAAATCTGTCTTAAAACAACAATCCATGAAACATTTATCTCCTTTCGTGGGGGGTTTTGTGGGTATTTTATGCTCAGGTAACTGCAACAAGGCTTCACATTTCAAAACAAAGCTTCCTGCTGTTTTTCTCAGTGTGATCATTATTATTAATGTTTGGTTTTTTTTTTGCTGAGAAACCTTTTTTAGATTATTTCTCTGTTTCTATCAGTTTGATTTCCGCCTTTCAGTTTTCTGAGCTTTGATGACATTTTTTTCTGTTATTGTGAATAGTCCCTGGTACTTTGCATGGTTTGGTTTTGGACTACGTTTTTTTTGTGTGTTTTTTTTTTGCTATTTATATATTTGCCTTTTTCTTGTGTTGACTGCTTTGATGGTATTAAGCACAGTTTTGCTTCCATGCAGCTTAATGCTTTTTAGCATGGCAAATTGAGCACTGCAGCCAAAAGTACTCATTTCCCGCTCCACCCATCCTGCCTCCTCTTCCTTCCCGTCACCCCCTCAGTATTATTGGCTCCAGGTATCAACTGTACTGTGAAAAGCTAGCGAAATGTGCGTGTGGGTGGAAAAAAATGGAAATGTAAATATATTTGAGAGACTATTATGGAGTGTAAAACTAAGTGATTAAGTACATTTTTCTCCATTCTGGTAACATGGATAAATACGTGCAGCTGATATAATCGGAGAAATAAGGAATAAAAATGAAAAGAAACCTCAATCTCAAGCTTATGATTGGGCAGAAAACACATTATTTTCTATCTCTGGTTGTATGCAGGCTTCTTCATGATTTAAATAGAAATTAAAATCATGTCCTAACTTTTTAATTTGCTGTTGAGATATAGTAGGATCATATCTGCTTATGACTATCACAGTGCTGCCAGTGCTTATTGGCCTTACGTCACCTGAGTAATTAGAATTGCTGCACAGTGATTCAGGCTCACTGACGATGTTCAGCACCCAGCTGCATATTGTCTAGCACTAAAGTGGGCTAGCCAGGTCGACGCTTCTGTTTCACAGTACAGTTGAGCCAGGTGTTTGTATATTGGCCCTCATGTGTCTTTACTATGCAGCTACTTCTATAGTACACTTTTCTACATTCCTCCCATCGCTCACCCTGTCTCAAACCCACCAGCAGCCCAGCTTCTTTCCACCATCTGCTACCATTGTGATCAGTCTCCCTTCCACAGGACCTCTCATCTGACTAGGATGTCATGTTCCAAGGCTATACCTTACCTGGTGCAAATGAATTCCAAAACCAATTTATGTAGCCTCCTCACCCTATTGCCCTGTACCCTCTCTTCTTCCTCCATCCCCACCCCTTCTCTGCTATTTATCCCCCTTGTAGTCTGTCTCATTTTGAACTGGAGTCACATGTCTTCTCCTGTTTGCAGAAAGAAATTGTTGTCCTCCTCTTCCTTTTCCCCATTTCCCGTTTTTCAACCTGTCTCCCTTTCGCAGGCAGGTTCAACTCTGCCCCCTCTCACAGTACATCTACCCTCCCCCAACCCCGACCTGTAGCCACCGCTGTGTTGTTCAAATTTATGGGTTCATTACAGCGGCTATTCAAGAAAAAATGAACAGGGAGGGGTGAAGAGGTGGATGAAACTATTGGGAGAGAGACACTGGGGATGAGGAGACAGAAGGCCATGTGATAAAGATTTATCAAATGAACAATTATGTAGCAGTGAAGGTTATGTGGAGGATAAGAGATTGAAGGTGGACAAAGTGTATGAGAGATATGAAAATACAAGATGGAGGACAGAGGAGTCGGAGCGGATATAAGATGTTAAGAGATAATGTAGCTGAATGGAGTGGACAACCATTTCTTTGTATCCATCCTGGTCATTTATATAATAACAATTTTAAACACAAGTTGTTTATGCCCATTATATAGGTTCTATTTAAGCATTGCTATTTTTCTAGTAATGGTTTACTAAACACCAACAGTTTTAGTGACCTACTTCCATATCAGGCCTTAAAATGTAAGTTCTCACAATTTATCACTCTCATATAGGTATGTATGTTATATACTTACGAATAACAATAAAAACTCTTATTGATATTAGACATTATTATTATGATGAACAGTGACAGTCATTTACTTTGTAAGATGCTGATGTTTTCAAACTGGTGAAACTTAGGATGTGATTCTTACCCGTATATGTCTGTGTGTCTGAGTGGATGGCTGACGATCGATTAAGCTCAACCACAAACACCCAGCAATAAGTCATTTGAGTCTGTGTAGAGCCTGTTTTTGCCGCACAATTATACAATGTCAGGGCAAGTAGAAATTAATCCTGGGAGAATAACTGTCAGGCAGGAAGTCTAGCAATTTAGGGCTGGCTGTGTGGTGGTCAGCACTCCCAGCATGAGGGTACCTGGTTCTGTCAAATATGTTGTCAGGTATTGTGAATAATATGCCAAAGAGACTTCACACCAACCATATTATGTCCAGAAACATGAGCTGAATAAATAAATTGAGGATTAGCAAGTACATTAAAGACTGCACTTAAAAAGAAACTAATACAAGTAACATTGGCTGAGTCTGACCACTGATTTATCTGCCCATTAGGGCCTGTTAATAGAACTCAAATAGTCAATGCCAAGTAGAACAAATTTCTCTTTTGGCGGTTGGCCAACAAGATTTGAAGTTACGGAGGCTTTAGTTTACCATTAACTCTCCTTGATGTCAGACTTAGCATTTAGCAGGTGAAGTTTTTAAAGAGCCTAAGGGACTGAGCGCATTGGGAAATTTAATGTTTGTAGTTTCATATGTCTTTGCAGCTGAATGATTGGATTTAGGCTAATCCTGTAAAAAGGATGATAGGATTTAGGTTAAAGGTTGCTCTACTGTCCCTTTAAGGCATGCAAACTGCTATAAAGTAGAAAGAAAAAATAAATGATATAACACCTACTGTGTATATTACACAGATGATTTTGGGCTGGTGTTTCTCACTCGCCAAAGACTGGGATAGGCCTTTGTGAAGGAGATGAATTATTCACACCTCATTGTGAGTCATTACAGAAACTGTGGCCTGGATGTTTTCACAGCATTATGCTCTTCCTTGACTGACGTCAAGCCACAAGCCATCATTTCCTCCACTGATTAGCTTATTGTTCTCGAACAACGCAATACTTTCTAACATGCATTTGCCACTTAAGTTTCCATTTTCGTGTCTTGGTTATGCGTGTCAGTTAGGCCCCTCACCACTGCCGGTCCGTACAAAAGCTGTGATTTGTCTTGCGTCATTGTGAGGTCGAATTTCACGTCGAGACAACCCACATTCAGCTGTCAGTATTTGGTTTTGCGCTAAAATCAAAGTATCAGGTTAATGGTTAATTAGGAACATACAAGTAAAGTCATTGTTCCTTGGAAGCGCTTCGTTGGGTTGTTTCATAGAATGATAAAATACACTTCAGTGGGTCACCATCAGTTTGAAGTGAGTCACAGAAATTGAATAGCAATTAAAATGAGCCATGACGGCTGAAAACCGCTGATTTGCAACCGCTTTGCATTATTGTGTCATTGTGTTAACGTGCCACTTATGTAAGACAGAAGATCAACATCAGGTCTACAATTCATCTGCAGTTATGGTATGACTTTAAAGCAAAAAAAAAAACACTGACAAATGTTCCCATAGAGGTTTAAATGAGCTTGATACCCTGTCACTTTTAAATACTACACACTCATGCAGGGAGTTGGCTACGAGGTTACAGCATCAACGTTAATACCTGAGGTGCAGAATGATGATACAATTAGGACTTTAATTATATTCTAACTAGCTCATCAGTATGTTGAGCAGTCACTCAGAATCGTCCAATGATGACTTTATTATTGGACAATACCATTAGTGGCTCTTAAACACACACAAGACGCCAAAGGATGATATCCAAAAGAAGGATTAAACAGAACTTAATGAATTGTTTTTATTATCTTAGTACCAAAAGTCCCTTTTTGGAAAACAACAATTTTGCCCCAAACAGGAAACTATCCTCTGCTTCCACAGCAGAGCTAATGACATAAAGAGGAGCCACGAGCATTTCTGCTTTTCCCTTGTGTCTTTCTTCCACTCTGTTCAAGGTTGACTGTTCAGTCTTTCAACAGGAGATACATCAGTGAGTGCAGTTCAGTCTGATGATGGAGAGATTTGCGTTTTCTCAGAGTATGTCTTTGTGTAACGGCCCGTAGTCAGAGGTTAGGACCCGCTCTATAACCCCTCTGTGATGTTTAACTGCCTTTGAAGTTTCCCCAACACCACCACAAAGACGAGTTCTGTGGGCTTAAGTCGGAGGGCGTCTGTAAAGAGATTAAAAGAGCATAACAGTGTCTATGTGAGTTGGACAAACAGAGGAAGACCATTCACTCATTGCAGTCACACTGGATTACAGTATTTCTGATTTACCAGTCAGTGTGGCAGACAAAGTTTGTTTTGATAGCAAGAAATATCTGACTATCTGAGATATGCATATAATATCTGTATGTTGAGTCCTGAGGCGGAGTGAAATTAAAACCAATTCTGCGACTGTGAGAGGCGTCGATCTGAGGATGTCTAGAGATGTCTTCTGAGGCCGAGGCATGAGAGACTAGAAGATTATAAGTCACTGTATAATCAGAACCCCGACAGAATGAAACTAAAGCAGAAAATCTGTGGGTTTAAGCAAAACTTTGATATTCTAAGGTCAAGTTGTGAAAGTTTTGAGAACTTTCACCAAGATCACAAGCCAACACTGAAAATAAGCATTGCCACCAAGATTCTAAAGCCTGAGGTCCAGCGATTCAACAGAGACAGCCGAGGAGCTCTCTGTGGGAAATTTTACTTTCTTTGATGTTAGAGAAACCATTCCTCACATGAAAGATAGAAATCTTTTAGTTTTCCCCTTCCTTTCGTGTTCTTAACCCAAGGGTCTGGGTTAAGTATCTAGAAGTTTCAGTGGAAAACCTTCTTTTACAAATTAGGGACCAGATTTCTACTTAAGAATAAAATACTTTTAAACCAGATTGGGCATTGTTAAATAAATAATTTCTTGAGTTGAATTAATTTAATTATACAGCTGATCATAAATTGAATTGAAAACCTTGACAAAATGGCTCATATTTATGCTTCAAATCTAAGTGACTCACCAACTAACTGACACATTTGTAGATATGAGAGACCTAAAACTAAATGCCAGGGTACTGTTATCACTATTCTGGTGAGTTGTTTATTTTTCCATAATAATTGCCATTTCCCTGCAGCTATTTTTGTGCTTTAAAAACTCCTCACCAAACTGTACTTAAACGATAAAAGTTACTTTGGTTGTGTCTGTTGAAGGATGACAACTCACAAAGCACACGAGGGTGTAATTAATGCTGCTCCGTTTGCCACCAAATGTAGCTCTCACCTTGTGGAAGGTGAGCAGTGTGAAGTAACACTCTGGGAACTGAGGACAGCCACAGGCAGCCGGGAAAAGAGAGATCCAAGGAAGAAAAGCCGGCAAAAAAATTGTATAGCAGCAAAGAAAAGAAAAGAATCTCTCTCTGTGTCAGATGTTAATGTTGGAGACAGGAAACAGATGCTTCGCCAGACAGACAGACAGACTTTTTGGTCGCACAAGTTCACAGCAGCACACTTGTCAAACCCCAATGCCTCACTGCAGATAACACTCATCACTTCTCACGCTGTCCACACAGCTGGCCACATCCATGGTAAGAATCTCTTCTGGACAGAAAAGGAGCTTTTAAATCCTTTGTTTAACTCTGAGTGAAGTATGGTTATGCTGCAAAATTGCCAGTACTCCCAAAAGAGACATTTAGTTTTTACCATACCACAGGAACGGTCGCAGGTAAATGAATAGCTTGTTTTTATATCCAGATTGAGTTTAAAGTCCAACAGACATTGTGGTATTGCCCAGTTGTTGTTGTTTTTCTTGGAAAATTGTTTTTTTTAATCATGTTTTAGCCTAACAAAGCATGATTGCAGTGAGTGAGCATTGTGGATGCTGGTTTAAAAGAGCATCTGTTCATGAGAACTTGTTATAGTCTCTGTCTCTTTGTCATGTCTCACTGAGAATCTATAGAGATGACACAGTTGAGATGAAGAGCCAATTATGATTACTCAACTCTTTCAGCCTACACTTTGTAGCGTCTTCTTTTGAAAAACTAGAATAGCAGGAAAGAGGAAGAGCAGTTTGCAAAAGCATTCGGTGGAAAACATCACAAATAGAACCATTTATCCTTCTAAGTTTTACTAATGCGGATACATCTGTTTTCCTTATTCTCTTTTGATGAAATTTAAATGTTGCTTTAGAAAAGAAGTTCCTCTAGCTTGTTCAGTTGAGACCTAAAATGACAAAACAAGAAAGTCAGCCTCTCCAATGCTTTTTCAGTTTCAAATCCTCAAACACTTCTTTTCGTGGCTTGAAAAGAGCATAAATAATGGAATACTGTTGCTTTGCAGTATTATGAAGGTCCACTATTGAATTTAGAGGATTGGATACCTTTTTTGGTGTCTTTCAGTCATTTTGACTCAGTGCAACTGTCAAAATTGAAAGGAAGATTTTTTAAATACTTTTTTTTGCAAGGTTGCAATCATTGCTAATGTCAAGTTTGCTTTGTTAGCTTGCAATTACAAAAAAATCCCCTCGTTAGTCTATTCAATTCAAGAATATGCAAAAAATGTTCTGAAAGCTCTGTCCGATGATTCATTACATATTGAATACATAACCAAAGATCTTATGTTTACTTTTAGCAGCATGAATTCACCACAGAAGTAGTTCCCGAGTCCACAATTTCCAAAGGGAGATGCAAACATTATTACAATTTGTTATTTTGCCCAATATTCTCTGAGAAAAACGTAAGACCTGCTATACACACAGCAACTTTTTGACCCTGTGTTATTACACACAAAATGTTATTCTGTCTCTCCTCCTATGAAAATATTGTACGGCATGTTTCTTATTTAATTATTGATTTATCTTTCTTTTCCCCCCCTTTTTTTGCTATATCACAGCGTGTCTTTGGAATAGGCATTTTCATAAGAAAGTAATGACTCCACTCATTGGATTTAACGGTTAATCAGAGGCTTTTTCATGTATTCTCTGGAATTCACGAGATTAAATCCATGCTTCTAGGACAGTCTCATATTTGCATCTAAAAGAACAAAGTGTATGGATACATCCAGCTACTTTATCTGGACTCATCTTTCATTTCAGCAGAGGGTTTTATCTGGGATTTTAAATGTAAATCCTAATCACCTCTGAAATTAAGATTGGATTTTTTGGAATTATTGAATATCCTTACTTCATGTTACCATTTGTTCACGTTTTAAATGTGCTTTTTTTCATGATGAAATTAAACCTACTTCATTTGCATGATTTTCATTAAAAATATTTAATTGGCTTATTATATTATCCAGAACATCATAAGCCCGTTTAATTTGTATCTTATAATTTGTCAAATGATAAGCATGTTTTCCGACAGGTCTCTTTTCATATAAACAAGTTCCTAAAAATACCCCAGCATTTTCTCTCTGTGTTTTATTCTGTCACTCTAAATACTCTTTGTGAATGTCTATTGGCAGGTGTGATACGTGAGAGCTACCAGAAGGGCCGTGACCAGCTGGTACCTGTGACCCTGCTGGCCATAGCTGTCATCCTAGCATTTGCCATGGGTGCCATCTTCTCTGGCCTCATTGTCTACTGTGTCTGTGACCACCGTCGAAGAGACATGGACCTAACAGGCCGCAAGGAAAAGGACACCCTGCATCTCCACTCCCGTCGGGGATCGATGAACAGTGTGACAAAGCTGACTGGCCTGTTTGAAACGCAGGCCAAAGACGGTCGCCCGGAAGCAATCCTCACCCCTTTGATGCACAATGGACGACTGACACAGAACGGGAAGATGTTGATAAAAGCTGACCAGCACCACCTGGACCTGACTGCTCTGCCAACACCCGAATCCACACCGATGCAACCGCGTCGCAAGCCCAGCCGGGGAAGCCGAGAGTGGGAAAGAAATCAGAACCTCATCAATGCCTGCACCAAGGACATGGCATCTATCGGCTCTCCGGTGATCTCCACAGACCTCCCCTTGAGGGCCTCGCCCGGCCACATTCCCAGTGTGGTGGTCTTGCCGCTGCCACAGCATCAGCACCAGCTTCAGCCTCACCTGCAGCAGCACCAGTCTTACCAACACGAGTACGTGGAGCAGCCTCACCACAGCGAGCTGTCCATGGGCCTCGGTGTAATGGACGACCAGGGGGCCACTCTTGAGTACAAGACAATGAAGAGCCCCTGTCACAGCCTCAACATTGTGGATCCAGATGGGGTGCTTCCACCTCGTGTGCCACAACGAGAGGCCTCTCTAACCATCCCTCCCGCTGTCCCGCAGATGGGCAAACGCCTGGAGGTCCACTCATCAGTCTATGGCCTCAGGAAAGGATCAGCATCTGGTGCTTCTGGATCCTCTGCCCTCAAGAAGCATAACACCAACTCATCTAACTCCTCCCATTTGGCAAGACATCACAGCTTCCGTGTGGAGAGCCCACCACCAGCGCCCCAGAGGGTGGACTCCATACAAATGACAGCACAGGGCATATCGCTGTCACGGCAGCCTGGAATGAGCTCTTATGGTTCACTGCCTCGAACAGGCATCAAACACCTCAAGCCCGATGTCCCCCCAAAACCCTCGGTAGTGTCCCTCTCCACAAAAGTCAAGTCCAGTGACTCTGGCACATAGTCGGCCTGTTAACTCATCAGTACAATGTGAACAGACTGTCATTACAAGGTGTTCTGAAAGGAAGAAAAAACAGGGAAAACTGCAACAACTTGCATCTTCTGTTAGTGCTTTATTTGTTTGTTTGATTGTTTTTTTGTGTACAGTACAGTGGAAGAATCAACACGTCTTTTTTTCTAAGAAAACACTTTCTTTTTATATAAATATGTAAATATGAAATGGTTGTTGTCTATTGTTGCCGTCATCAAGCTCTGTCCGACTCTCAGTTCCTCTGTAAACACAAAAGGCAACCCGTGCTACTGAAAAAGAAAATGGAACCTGTCCTGAATATTTCATACATCGGCATCCTGTAGCATCCAAGTCAGTGGCTCTCTGGTTTGTAATGTCTTTAGTCGCTGGGACTTGACTTGATACTTTATCATGCTGATAAAAGCACATAAGGAGACAGCACGCAAGAGGGCAAGGGTTGGACAATAATCCTTGTACATTACCTTGAGGACTTGAGAATCTTAGTGAACATGCACTCAGAGAGATTGAGTTCAGACTGGAAGGACAAACAGTTGCCTGAGTTCTGATGGAAACTGTGAAAAGCCTCTCAGTGTTACAGCAATCAAGTCCTGCCGGGGTTTTATCCAAAGCCTGGACAGAGGAATCTCCTACTGTACTGGTTACTGAAAAACACATGACTGTTAATACTAATAGCCTGTTGTATTTATTTTTATTAAGTGCTTTTGAAAAAAAAAACGGACTGACTTTGTAGGGTTGAACAGAGAGAGGACAAAGAAGAAATGTTTTAATATGAATTAATCAAGTGAGGAAAAAAAATATTTAAAGTCATTAAACTGGAGCCAGTAGAACTGTTTTGTTGACTAAAGGTCCACAAGGTCTTACTGTGTGCTCAGTGGGACCTACAGTTTGACATACAGTATACCTTGACCTCTGAAAGAAGAAGGTAATATTTATTTAAACTGTGCCAGACCAGGACTTTCACCTTTATGGACCAGAATTTCCATTGTTTTTGGCCAATCATGAAAAAAAGAGACTTCCTGAATCGCACCCTTTCACTCCTCCCAACCCAATCAGCACTGTGGTTTTGTGTGAGTCAGAAACATTGATCCCGACTGGTGGCTGACTTACAGGTGCCATCAAAGCTCACTGTTGCATTTTGCAAAGAGAAGAAAAGCAGCTGCAGCTGCAGCAGTGCAGGGGTCTGAACGCATTAAAAAAAAACAAGCCGTGGAGGAGGCCGCAAGCAAATGGAGTGACGACTCCATCTGGGAACATATCGTCTAGTCCAACGTCAAGCAGGTGAAAAACGAAAACAGTAAAAACATCGGTGTTGCCTGCTTCTTTTTCCACATGTAAATTTGTGCCTTACACCCTAAAGTAGTGACAATGTTTTCTTTAATAGATGTTAACTTTGTCTCCTTGTTGTATTTTTTCTTTTTATCTTTCATTTTTTACGTCATGTTTCCCTGGTTTGATAAAAATGCAATTAAAGAATGTAGTGTTATTGTTGTAATTCTGGTCTCTAGACATAACACACTTACAGTCTGGAGGAAGAGGAGGAGAGGTGGGAGCATTCCCTTTCTTCTTACACTCTTTCCGTCTAGTGGATAAACAAATGCACACACACACACACACACAAACACACGCAAACACACACACACAAACACACACTTACTCATCTTTGTGGTTCATTTCTGATTGTGCCATTAATGAGCTTAAAGGAACCCTTTATGTTGTGCTGGCAGTGTCGATGAAGACGTTGTGAGTGTTTTTGATTTTCTGTTTTATACAAACTAAAAGTCCTGCTACTTGTTTTTGCTGTCTTTTTGTTTGGAGTGGTGGTCAACTGACTGATAAACTGAACAGTTAACTTTTGTGTCTTGTTGAGAAGGCCAACGTTTGTGTATCTTTCTGGTGCACCGCAATAATAATACAATGAGAGCATCTTAGCAAATGTACAGAGCGAGATACACAGAGGTCCCCTGTGCACGAGGGCAGTTCACGGCGACTTGTGTGCATCTTAATGTTTATTTGTTAGGCAGTTGCATAAACAGGCTGGTTCCTGTGACGAAAGTTGACATTTTAAAACAACATTCAAAATTTTGCTCTTTAGCCCCCCTTTTTGTAAGAAAAAAACATGGTTTAAGAAAGTTTAGAGACACTTTTCTAAAAAAAAAAAGAAAAAAAAAGAAAATGTTTGTTTCACTAACTCTCATTATCAGAGCCATGGGAATGGCTGAGAGTTTAGGAAATCTGACTATTTTTCTTTCACCTCCTTCCCACATGGGGATTTTTATTGATCGCCCCAACCCCTCACCTGAACACTTAAATGAGTGGAGCACTCCCTGTGTGTTTTATGTGTAGATAGGTCAAAATTCTCTCTTGATATCAAGAAAATTTCTGTTTCTCAATGGAGGAAAAGCCAACAATGTCTCGATCCACAGCTAAAACAAGAGGGACATCAGTTTAAATGTGTGCTGGGACAGAAACGTGTGGTCAAAAATCATGGGTATGGGGAGAACAGGTCAAAGCAGGACTAAAGACAAATGGGATCTGTAGGAAAACAAGTTCTGTGGGTAATTGAGATAGTTATCCCTGTTTTGAGTAAAGCTTTGACCCTTAATTTGGAGTGGCCCATGATTAGTTTGGTGGTGTCTTTTCACTCTAGATAGTGACTGAGCACAAGCACACATTATTTTCAACCTTCAGTGTATTTAAATGGTCGGACCAGTGATTTTTTCTCAGGCCCGGAATAACGCTGACCATCAGCTAAATGGGAACGTTTAGTTCAGGTGGATCTTGCCTGGGAAAATCCACACAGATTGTAGACATGAAAACCTGCCGATCAGACGGGTAAACGTTCACATCCCGTGTGGACGATGACTAAATTAAGCTGTGGGTGCATTAAAGATTCAGTAGCATCCAGCAGCCCTATATCAGAACGAGGTTTCGATCATTTTGAAGAGCGCATTAAGGTTGACTGTGAAGGCTGCTGTGGACAGTGAGGTTCTTTAGTGTGTGCCTTTTTGTCTTTTCACCCTTGGTATAATACACTGCTATTAGATGCAAATCAACTCTCTTATCAACTTCTCAAACTTTTGAACTTTGTAAGCTTGTAAGATATTGTGACGTCACAAAGTTTTTTGCCCTACTCTCTCCACTTCCTTAACATCTGATTCAAAGCTCAATGTATGTTGTAAAGAAAAAACTCTTTAATTTAATGCAAAATGTAATAAAAAAAAAAAGAAAATAAAATTGTTGTCATGAAGTCTTTGAAATGTCCTTGACTTCTTGACGGTCTTTTTTTTCCCCAAAGGCTGTCATTTTTACAACGTTCACTGCCTTAATTGTTACATTTTGTGCAGCACCAAATCAAGCAGTAGCTTTACAAAAGTTTTGAAGCCTCTTTTGATTAAAAAAAGATCTTGTACTTTTAAGACTTCAAGCCCTTTCTTTTTGTAAAATCACCACTAAGCACTTAAGATTTCAGGAAGTTTGCAAAAATTTTCCTAAAATTAAATTTGAGCTGTAATGCATACACATGCACATACAAAAACATTAAACATACAAAAAACAGTTTTAAAAAAACTGACTGGTGACAAGATTTTTTCAGAAATTGCCTTGAGACCCTTGCTGTCACATAGACTATTAAGACTATGAATATATCATCTATAGGCAACCACAAAACAGTGGAACATTTACGTAAAGATGGAATGATTTACTTTATCAACTTCATTAAAAAGTCTTGGACGTGCTTTTTTAATCATTTGCAGAATATAAAAGAGGTGTACAACACTGATTACAAATAACCAAATCTTTCTTCGGAGTACCAATATTTCAGCACCAAGTCCTCAGCACTGTTGGGGGATGGTAACTTAGCAAAAGAAAGAGAAGGTTGTTGTTACGGTGGGAGAAGTTAACAAGTCTAACAAGTCAGGGCTGCAGTCAGACAAGAGGCAGGGTGCCCTCTGGATAGGTCACCGGTCCATCACAGGTCCAACAAAGAAACAACCAAAACAAACTCACATGCCTGAGGTCAGTTGGGAATACATCAACATGCATGTTTCTGGAGCACCCGGAGAGATCCCAACACAGCAGGAACATGCTAACTTTTCACAAAACAGTGCCAGTTGGGATTTAAAGCAGGGACCTTCTTGCTGTGACAGAAAGAAAAAGCAAGCGAGAAAGACTGAAAAGCAAGACACCACCATTTGAAATGATCAAATATAATATGTCAGGCCATGTTGCATATACTGTTCTTACAGAATGACATTTATTCTAATCGTTTATATCAGGTTGCCTATCAGGTTGCCTCTTGGTAAAGTAGCTATTTACAGTCTTTCCTATTGTTTGCTATTGTAAACACTCAACCAGGTTGTTTCTACAAATTCAAGAGTTTTAATATATGTGATGCTGGTCTTATTCAGGTTTTTAAAGGCATGAAGAAGTGTCTTGATTTTAAAAACGGATAGTAGCATCAATATCCTCTTGTGCAAAAATTTATAGTAAATCCACATTTTTATCCAGTAAAATCATTTACACAGAATCCTTAAATCAAGCTCCATTACCTGTCTCAGTCATCAAAGTTTTTACAGGGTTGGATGCAGTAATACACAGAAACAGCTAGAATAATTTGGTTGTGTTAAAATGGTACATCATATAATATTACTTATAACATTTTGAAGGCATAATAAAGAATTTACTATGGGTTTCTAATGTGCTAAATCTTCTCTTTTCAAAACTCTTTGATCGTCTTCAAACTCATGATACTTAGCTTGGTGTGTATTAAATTACAGTTCAAAAAAGCAAAACTCATTGCCTGTAGACAATCATTACTGACTAACACCAACAGGAATGCATTCTATTTCAAATCACTCTCTCAAGTTTCTCGCATCAGCACACACTTGGCATCATTTCGCCATGAACTGCAGCTTTAGCAGGTAGCTTGACACAGCTGCCTTTGATTCTGGGGTAGTCATAAGCAACAATCATTGGTACAAGTCAGGCTGCATGGAGATCAGATAACCAGGATGTGGTACAGCTAATGAGGCCTGTCGCTGCTTCCACAATGGCGCATTGTGCAGTTTTCATCCAGGCACCCGCGTGTTGTTGCACTTTTCAGAGATCAAGATTCAGAGTCAGATAAGCTCCTCTCAACATGACAAGAGCACAATGGTGTCTAATGATGACTAGTGTGAGCCGCAGTGGCGGCCGGCCCATAGGGGGCGCTGGGGCGCCGCCCCCCCCTAGATGTGGAGGGGGAAAGTTATAATATATATATTTATTTTTAAAGTATTATCAATGTCAGTTTTACTTAATAATATGTGGCTACATGTAATATGAATTATTAAAACAACAATTCCACCAACTGACTCTCATTCAAAAGTGCATTTCCACCCACAGAACGTATCGTTTCTCCTCTGGGGCGCTAGCCCCAAGCGCCCCAGAAGTGCAGCGAAATAACCAATTGAAAAATGTTGCTAGGGAAAATTAATAAATATTTGGCCAATCAGCATCGCCGAAAATATTGGCTTTGGGGCGCCAGCTCCCGGCGCCCCAAAGCCATAGACGTATAGCTAGTGGTCAGTCAGGCTGTGACGTAGAGATGACGTCGACAGTTGTAGAGCTGCTTTCACATAATTCAGTGAGATCTTTACTGAGATCTCCTTTCGTGAGAAGGACAATGGTGGAAAAAAATAAACGTAAAGGAGCTGGGACCTGACAAGTCCGAAATAAATGTAACGCAGCGAACCAATGAAAAAGCTAAGTCCTCCAGCCGGCCTTTTAACCGAAGCTGGTTCCAGCGTAGGGGAGAGTGGGGTAAGATGAGCCAGTGGGTAAGTTGACCCACCCCTTCTAACTAGGTAACCGTTCACATGTTTTGTCATGTGACCATAAATTCAGGAAGCACCAATCATTTCCATCTTGCTGTGATAAAGACAAGCACATGGGAGAAGGGGTAAGTACTTTTTTACACAAGAAACTGATTTTTGCTTGTTTAAGTAAATTTACAGCATATCAGGTAAAATGACTGTTATATCAAAGCAAATTTATCTGGGTCTAAAATTATATATTATACTTGTTGGTGATTTTCTTACGTATAAAATCATGTGAATCACTTCACTTAAGATTAGCCTGAATTTCTAAGCTAGCCCATCTTTTCCAAAATGGTGGCTATGGGGCAAAGTGAGCCAAAGGCTATGGGGTAAATTGAGCCAATGGTTCAACTTACCCCACCACAAGGCAAGCACTCTCAGACGTATAAAATAGTATTTCTTTGAGTATACTCAACTGGTTTGTCAAATGTTTACCATTGTAGAACAGGGATCATGCCAAGAACCTACAAGAGAAAAACAAACTGGGGCTCAACACCCCTTGAAGCGCTGGAAAGAGCAGCCAGTGATGTCAAGGCTGGAAAGTCCATCAGATCAGTGAAAAAAGAGAGAAATAATGACAGGTCAATATTGAGGAGATTCATAAAGAAGAGGGAGGTGAAGGAAGTAAAAGCAGCAGGGTACAGTGGAACAGCAGAAGCAAGGAGAGTATTTTCAGAGGAGATGGAGAAGGAGCTAGAAGACCATATCAAGCAGCTCGCAGACCAGTTCCATGGCCTTACACCAAAGAAATGCCGGGAACTGTCATTAGAATTGGCAATCGGTAGGAAGTGCAAGAAACAACATAACTCAGTAGGTTGGCATAGACCAATTTAAATCGCAGTAGAAATCAGCTCTGAGGAGAGTGATGTTGCCATCCCATTTGAAGACACTTCTGAGCACGAGAGTTCCAGCGATGAAAGAAGTGAACCAGATGTCTCAGATCTGGTAGTTGGTGACTTTGTCATCGTAAAATTTGCATCCAAATGCAGAAGCCACCATTACATTGGCTTGGTTGACAGCCTTGCAGGCAACGAAGTGAGTGCCAGATTTCTGAAAAGAATCCGAGGGATCACTGGCAGTAAGAAACCCACCTTTGCATTTAAGGAAAACGATGAGGAATCTTTCCCACGGAGTGATGTGCTGAAGAAGCTACCTCAACCTCAAAAGGTTGGAGGAACTGCAAGGAGGGAGCAACAGTTCATGTTCCTCTGCAACCTTGACAGTTGGAATATTGAATAGTTCTTTTGATTAAATGGTTTTGAAACTAACTGGTGGTTTGTTCTCACAAGTTCAAAACTTTTAAAACTGTTTGTTAGCACAATATGCTCATTTTTACAATTTAAAACCTAGAGGGTCAGTTTACCCCAAGATGGCTCAATTTACCCACTTACTTGGTTCAACTTACCCCTAACCTGGGGCAAGTTGAGCCACAGGAGCACTTTTTTTTGAGAAGTCATTATTTTGGGCAGCTTTGTCAGAGATGCATTCTGATAATTTCATTTGATAGGAGACATCCTAAAATAAAATAATATGTTTTCATTCTATTTCTGTGTCATTTTTCCTTACGTCCAGAACAACATAAGTAAAAAATGGCTCATCTTACCCCACTCTCCCCTAAGTCCTGGCTGATAGCTGGTGGGACGGCCAATGCACTTTTATGTTTTTCCCGCATCCCTTTAAAAGTGACCGGAGTGATTTGACGTGGACACAGTCTTGACAGACAGACTTAAAACACCTCTCTGAACAACTAAGAAACATGAAATATCACGAGTTCATATGGAAAACTGTGTTAAGCTAACTGTGTTAAACTAACCACCTGTGTGCCTACTTTGTGTGTTTGGTGACAAATAGTAAAATTGAGTGTTGTATTTCATACTGTTCTTTTCCAAAATAATACCTAATGTAGCTTCAAATGGTTAACTGTATATGTAAACTGCTGATTCTGATAAGGGAATTAAATCATTATTGTGGAATTGTACTAATTTTACGACTTTTAACTTGAATGCATGTACTGGGTTAGGCAGGGAAATCTATTGGCACACCAGCCCCACCAAGATTTTTTTTCACCAGCCGCCACTGGTGAGCCGGTATTCTGGGAGAGCAAGTCAGTGTTTTTCAAAGGTCTGGTTTTAAGGGCTGAAAACTTTTTTGGAAGGAGGTGCTGGGGTTAATTGGGATGGATAAATCCAGCAAGTCATGTTGGGACATTTCCTAACGCAACACTTACATTTTAAAATACTAATAAATATCTAATATTTTTTTCTTTCTTTGTTGGAAATATGTGGATGGTAAAGCTACAAGATACAACATTAAAATGTTCACAAAAATGCTCAGTAATAATAGATATCTCACCTGTTTCTGCTCAAAGTTTCCTTAATATT